TATAAATACTTAAAGAGTTAGTTTAATAAATATAAATACTTAAAGAGTTAGTTTAAAGAGTTAGTTTAATAAATATAAATACTTAAAGAGTTAGTTTAAAGAGTTAGTTTAATAAATATAAATACTTAAAGAGTTAGTTTAAAGAGTTAGTTTAATAAATATAAATACTTAAAGAGTTAGTTTAAAGAGTTAGTTTAATAAATATAAATACTTAAAGAGTTAGTTTAAAGAGTTAGTTTAATAAATATAAATACTTAAAGAGTTAGTTTAATAAATATAAATACTTAAAGAGTTAGTTTAAAGAGTTAGTTTAATAAATATAAATACTTAAAGAGTTAGTTTAATAAATATAAATACTTAAAGAGTTAGTTTAAAGAGTTAGTTTAATAAATATAAATACTTAAAGAGTTAGTTTAATAAATATAAATACTTAAAGAGTTAGTTTAATAAATATAAATACTTAAAGAGTTAGTTTAATAAATATAAATACTTAAAGAGTTAGTTTATTAAAGAGTTAGTTTAATAAATATAGGTGTTCAGATTAGATAATAAAGGCCAATCACAGATTCTGGTTCGTTTAGTTTAAAGTTTAAAGTTTAAATTGTTTAGCTGTACATGATATATTTTACTTTCACACATCATATACATCTCAAATAGCTCCTCTAGACCCTGTTTGGTAACTGAGGAAGCTGTTTTCATGGAGAAACTCTAAGAAACTGGGAATGTGAGAAAAAGTTCGAACTAGAAAACTGGTGGCTGGAAGCTAAGATCCCTCATCTGGTAACTTGTTTGTGAAAACCTGGGAAATCTACAGACAGAAATTTCCCCGGTTTGCTAACCTAGAAATCTGGAAACCACTGATTTAGCTGTCAATTATGAAACTCATTGATTAGAGCCTGAAACTTATCTTTTGATCGAGATTTTTTAGTTATGATCTATCCATGTCATTACTTACATAATGGATTGAGATTTTTTAGTTATTTACAACAGCCAAATGCATTCACATTTCCATAACATAAACAAGAGGACCACAGTTCCATCATACAAACAAAATGAACAAGTGTCCTCGACATAAGGAAATGAACAACAAGCACACCATACAAGTTATCACAAATATAAATTGGCGCTTGCATTGAAGCTGCCATGTTTAAATTGGAGCTTACATTGAAGTTTTCACCAATGTTTTGGTGAAAACTTTAAAGGATAAACATTTGATAGCATTTCAATTTCCCCCCTGACAATGATCGACATCAGAAGCTACAAAAGCTAATGACAAAACCAATAAGTTCATAATTCACATCAAGGACCAAACTATTACATAGCAAGCCATATATTTCGTTCACAAGAATCAACCAAGAAAAAAAATCATTAGGAATTTCAATAAGAATTAATTGAAAGAGAGCTTACTATTCATGAATATCTCAAAGCTTCTAACAATTGACCAACCATAGAATAAAACCCAACCGCCTTTTTCAATAGATATTGACTCATCCTGCCCAAACAAAATTGAGAAAATCTTCCATTCTTCCAAAATAATCTTAATTTTTTATGCTAACATATCAGGGCTCTGAGGTGAAAATCAAGAGCAAATATTTTATGTTTATTGGGGAATTATCTGATGTTATTTTATCACATGATGAAGATTTTTTTTAGAGCTTAAAATGCATTATGTAGATTACATGGTTAGGAGCATGTTTATGGTCATCACACCATTCACATGACGATGACCTCTGCTTAGATAAATAGACGCCAAAGAATAGTGTCAATGATGCAACCATGGACTGTGTTTTTCAATCTGATAAATTCAAAGAGGAAAGATATAAAACAACAGCATAAATAACACTAAAATGTCCATCAGATGAGCAGTAGAGAAAAATGAAGAATAATAACAATGAAGAACAATTAAGATTAAAGTAAAATCAATGAACATACCTGAAATGTCTACAATGGCTTGAACGGATAGGACAAAACGATATGAGAGCTGGTGCAAATGTGGGAGAGGGCTTGAAGAAAGAGAAAGGGAGCAGCGAGGGTTAAGAAAGAGTGTGAGAAATAAAAGGGGATGGTTGGGGAGTTCTGTGTTCTCCCCCTTTCTATGGATTTTGGCAAGGGGTGTGCTGCTGTTTTCCCCAAGAACAAGGAAAAACGTGAAATTGCTGAACCCTACTATTATCCACCAATTCCCGTTTTCGCCATTCCCAAACTAGGGAAAAGGTCCATACTGAGAAACAGTGGTGTTTTCTCCTGTCCTTATTTACTAACTACTTAACTTAAAATTAAAATGCATACTGGTGTACATTAAAAAGATAAGGAAAAGAAGGAATCTTTTGTGTTTCTGAAAATTTTAAAGACTAACTGCAGGGTACAAAATGTTGTCAGAAGTGTTGTTTCACAACTTACCGAGGCTTGGGACTCAACCAAGTTGACTCACCTAATGACCATGTTGAGTCTTTCTCCGAGTCCATTAGTTTACAGTTCATACTTTGTTCAAAAACTTTAACTGGTTAATAAGATTAATTTAAAAATGAGGTAAAAATAAACTCAGCACTCTAGAGAACAAACTCATCCATCCTCACATATCCTGCCTTCTCAATTACTGTAATTGCAAATGAAATGCTCCTGGCAGAGGAGCCAATTTTCCAATAGAATCACCAATGGAGCAAAGGATTTTGGGGTGGGAATGCCGCACTATAATAAGCTTCGTAGTGGTAATCTCCCTACCTCTCTAATATGACCTCTTTGTAATAACACACCCAGCGTTCCAAAATACGGTGGGCGGCGCCTAGGTGACTGGGAATAAAAAACATGGGATATCTAACTGTTTTAGGGTCAGTTTACTGTGTAAAACATTAAAAAAGACATATTGAGACACACCACAGTTATAATACATAATATATAGTCCATCAGTCCATAATTCAATACATTTCAAATTCAAAAATCAAAGTTCAAACTTCAAAACATTAGACCATACTCCATAGACCATACCATAATCCGAACTCCATGCACTCCATAGTCCACACACAGTAAAAATCGGAAAATATTCTAAAAAACCCTCTGATAGTCCTAAAAAAAAACTCTAAAACTAAATCTAAACTCAATGGGTAATGTTTGGATCAATTTCTTGTAACTTTGAGAAACTCTTCGATCTTGTGAACATCACAAAATGCAAGTTTTTTGAGGTTCCTATCTCTTTAAAAATGGTTCACATGGGGTTTAGGTTGGATATGAACCTAAACCCCTTCATTTAAATACTAAAAATAAAAAAATAAAAAGCCCTCAAGGGGCATTTTCACCCCTATGCGGGGTGCAGGCCCCGGGAGGCCGCTCAGGGCTGGGTGTCCACCTAGGTGAGGCCTTGGGTGCCTAGGCAGTCGCCCAGGGACAGGCTACCCAATTTGCCCGCCTAGGCCTAAGCGACACACTGGGCCCCCCTTGGTCCACCTTGGCAAACCCTTTTTTGGAACATTGAAAGCACCTAGAAGGAATAATATCTGAAAAATTTCGTTAAGGAAATGTACCACAAATTAGAGATTTCTCATAAGTATTCAAATATCTAACATGAAGACTGGGCAGGCAAGACGCTTGACGAATTCAATTAAATAATTTGATGCGTTTCTTCGATTATTAGTTCCTTCACATGCTAAAATGCCCCAGATATCTGGCTCGTCGATAGCAACTTTATTCCCTCATTTAAAGCAAATAAGTGGATTGAATTCAGTTCCATCCATATCTTTTGCCAAAAGCATTTGTGAACAAATATATTCTTGATAGATAAAGCACTTCCAAAAATCATTAAACCTCAATTTGGATGCCTAACCTATTGAACCTTCATTAACAATTTAAAAATCTGCATACTCAAACAATAAGTACTTCAAGATACTCATCCCCAATGGAAAAAGCAATGACAGGGCTCTAGTGAGACGCTTTTAAGTATAACGCAACTCAAAACATATGTTTTGTAGCTTATAGTTGGAAATTCATATAATATGCTACACATTAACACAAATACGAAAAAAAATGTGCACGTTCTAACATTAACCTTAAAACCAACTTTTGCGAAGTCCATAATCACAGTTTTCATACAAGAAATAAAATTTGGTCATTAGTCATCCATTGGGACAATAATTTGGTAAAGTGAATGTATAGAGGAGATGAGGAGGATATTTGAGTTAACTCCACTTGATCGAATGAGAATCAACTTATCAATTGCAATACAATTTCTTCAATCACTATAGATGATATTAAAGCCCAGCTCAAGCCTATAGCATTTCTGTCAATAGGCAAGCACTACTTAAAGCTGAATCTCAAATGAATGATTTTGTACAATCTGTACAGATAGAGAAGCCTCTTATTTCCGCAAGTTGCTACCATGAGCCAAACTTGGTCCTTCCTTTCGAATTCACATATATTACCATCATCTATCAATTACATCAGCCTCTCAAAGAACTCAATTCAGTGATGGACCCTCCTCTTTCAGGAACTTTATATACTAGGCGACACAAACATAATGTACCCATTTTTCTCAAGCACAAGGAAATGTTTGCTCCATCTTCTTCATGTAAATCAGTTCAGTACATCATTTTATTATGTCATCTACTTCATGCTCATCCATTCGAACTCGATTTGTTTCCCCATTAATGTTTGTAACTTCATATCTTCATTACCTCAAAATAAGTAACATAAGTATTTTATAATTCATGAAACAGTTCAATAAGAAGCTATAGATAATGACCTGGCCCACATGAAGTCCGCTTATACAATCAAATCACAACTTCAATAGCTTGAACCAAATCATTTTGAGAAGACCAAAGTTAATATTACATGAATGGTGGTTTCTTATTTTACTAGCTTCTCTCTCTCTTGTAACTTCGATGAAACAGTCTTCTAATACTAGCAAGCTCTTGGAATTAGAAGATATTTAAATTATTTTTTTTTGGTAGGTAAAAATCATAAATTTACAAGGAATACCAACATCATATAAATATTCTGAAGAAAAATACCTTTGTCCAAATTGCCAATTTTTCAGTTCATCCAACTCCGAGACTACGTTATAAAGGAAAGGGATAAGCATTCAATCATGAAACAAGTAAACCTAATCAAAGAAAAAGAACTACAAACTGAAATAAATGCAAGCAAGAAAATAGAAAGAAAAAATAAGAGAATACAGAGCCGAACATAGAAAACAAAATGGAAGTACGGATTGACCCAAAAGGCAACTACAAACAGGAGTAAAACCACAGTTACAAAGGAATTACAAGAAAATAAATCTGGTTAATCAAATAAGAGGGAGTATAGTAAGTAGATGTAATTCTTACCATTGAATTGAAGCAACGGAGAACGGTTATAGCTTCGCCTACAACAAATTCATTCTGATTCCCTAAATTATAAATTAAGTTAAAAACCCTAACAATGCAAGGGATAAACATTAGAGGGACAGGGCATGCTTTGGCATGGCGTGCCACCTGCAACTCCTATTATTGGAGAGAAGTTCCCACTCCTGGACTTGACTATTGTCGAAATTTAGAGAGAGAAATGAAAAGGGACCTGATTCCTCATAAATTACATAAAGCTCCTTTTATCTCTTGGTGAGATTTCTAAATGGGACGAAATTTCGACGCATCATGGAATGTGTCCGGCCTTTCAAATTTGTAGGGTTCGTGTGAATTGGGGCCTACTTGTTTTTTTTTATGTCGGGGTATCGAGGTTTTAAAAAAAGGGTGCAGTTGGCATACTGATGCATCCGCAGTTGTAGAGGTAATGTGTACTTTTCAAAATCTATTTATATATCTAATTAAAACACACTTCCAAATTTCATCATAACATGTAATTTTGGTGAAACAAATTTTTATGATTATTTCAAAATCTATTTTCACATTTAATTATAAAATTTTAAACTTCAAAAATAGTTAAAATCCAATAGATCTATAAACATATAACAATATTGAAAATAGACAGTTTAGATAATGTATTGCATAATGAACTATTTTTGGGACTCAAAATCTTTATATATATATATATATATATATATATATACATCTCAATGTCGAGATGATCAATTAGAGGCTTTTTCAACACTAAAACAACATTTTCTTGTGGATTTTTGAGGTGCATATGTAATTCTACATTTTATGGTTGCAAACCTTATATAAACTTTTTCCTTTAAAAAATGGTTAAAATCAAGTAAATCTATAAACATATGAAAATCTTTAAAATTGACGGTGTAAATAATATATTGTAAAATGCATTATTTTTTAGACTTAAAATCTTTTTATTTTTCATGGTCATACCTCTCGATGTCGAGATCATCAATCAAAGGGTTTTTCAACATTAAAACTATCTTTTCTGATGGATTTTTTAGGGTCATTTATAGTTCTACATTACAAGGTAGCATCCTTATATAAACTTTTCCCTTTAAAAAAGGGCGCAGTTGGCATACGGATGCATCCGTAGCTGTAGAGGTAAGATGCACCTTCAAATTTTATCATGGTATATAATTTTGATATAAAATGTTTTTAGGATTATCTCTAAATCCATTTTTATATCTAATTATAAAATTTAAACTTCCAAAAATGATTAAAATCAAGTAGATCTCTAATCATATGAAAATCTTGGAAATTGACGGTGTAGATAATATGTTGTAAAATGCACTATTTTTGATACTTAAAATCTTTTTATTTTTCATGGTCATATATCTCGATGTCGAGATGATCAATCAAAGGGTTTTTCAATATTAAAACTATCTTTTCCGATGGATTTTTTAGGTGCATCCGTAGTTCTACATTATAAGGTTGCATCCTTATATAAACTTTTTCCTTAGATATATTTACATTTATTAGAGGGTAATATACATCACAAAATTTCAAAACAAATGAAAAATGTATGTTGGGTGCACATATGGGTATGTCTTGGTTGTCCACCCATTTGCAACTGGGCATGCCCTTTGTTTGCCCCTTTGTTATAAAGAAAAGTATTTTTCCTTCTTCTCTTGATTTTATTTATTTGGCAAAATCTTTTATAAGTGATCTAGACTATAACAAATTCATGGTGGTATTTGCACACGGAAACAACGTAGATAAACCATTTGGCTTTCCAAATCTTAGTTCTTCTATACTACTCACCGCCGTACGTGTCTATGGAAAGTTAACTCTTCTTTCCAAGATATCTTCTTCTATTCCATGCTTTTTCTTTCCACTTTTTAGAGCCTAAACCACTTTATTCCCCCTTCCCTATTTAATTTTGAAATATTGGTCTTACCTAAGGGTAGCATAGGACCGGACCGGCTAGCCCTCGTCCAGCATGGCTCGGCCCTTTTCTCCACAGAGCTGGGCCAAAAGCGAATGACGAAAAGAAGTAGGCCAAGTCAGGCAGAATTGACCTGACGCTGGCCCTAACTATTTTTTAAGGGCCCGGCCGCCTGGCCCATTGCTAGCCCTAATCTTACCAAGTTTAAAAGATAGCATGGGGGTAAATATGCTTGGGGTTAAATAACTTTGGTATTCCAATTACTGAAAACTTCATACATGGCATCATATTCAAGAAAAAATAAAGAACGATCCCATTCTTAAACCTAAAAGGTCCAAGGATTTCTTTAGTAGGTGACCCGAGTGGCCTATCCATTAGGCTTCTTACCTTTTATTTTTGGGTTTCTTTTGTGTTTAGTTGTAGGGATGATAAGAACTCCCAATAACTCTCTTGCAATAGGTTCTCAGGTACTTGGAGGTCCCGGTTCACACTTAGAAGGAAGGTAAGCCCCTTCTTCATTATTCTAATACACCTAATTTCTTCTTCTCATGGGTATAATGCCGTGTCAAGGGTACAAATATTTCTACTTTTGTCCAATATTGTCAAGATTTTTATGATTGTGCTTTTGGACTGGGTCAAGGTTTAGTCACATTAGTAGTTCTAAACAAATAGATGACAAGTATTCTTCCAAGTTAGAGTGAGACACAGGCGTCTCCAAGAAATATAGCCACGAAACATTGTTTTTCCCTTAATAAATTTTCAGGATAAACGGGACTCATTTTTCGTGTTGACAAGAAATTGTAATTTTTCTATGGAAGTCAGAGTAGGCTTAGATTTTTTCTGTTAGATATTAGAGACATATCATTCTTGGTTTCATTGACAATTTTTCCAATTTCTAGTTTGTTGGTTTTGTTCATTCATAGTCATAAAATTTGGATCCATAAGGGATTCTCTTGTGGGTTTTGACCAATTGCCGATGGAAAGATATTACTTAAGGGATTTTATGCTGCGAGACCATTTATTTTTTGTACAAAGAGGACATTATTAGTGCTAAATATTAAATGTTATATTGAATGGCTTTGATCTGTGTCACAAAGTTCGAAAGAAATTTTTTTTAACTTGGAGCCTAATCAATAATACACTCACAACTATGTGATTTGAAATCTGATGGACAAAAGTGATTGTGACCTCTTTGTAGTAAATATAAATGGTCCTTTTGTATACTTTTCTATTACTTAAAGCTACGGCTTTATGCAACCGTGCCTCATATGTCGTGCAGGGAATTCATTTAACTATATATATTGTACATCTCCCACTATAGATCTAAAGGGTGCGGTTTGTATAAGGTTGCAATCTTACCTATAGAAATAAGATTGTGATACTTTACACTGCCTATTTTATTTGGATTGTGTAAATATGAAACATATTTGTAGATAGTATCAATACCGGACACGTTATTTAATATAGTGTCAAATCTATACTATCCAAATAAAATGGATGGTTTAGATTATACAATATTATTTCTATAATAAATGACCTTATTAATAAGCTCCGTTTTGCAATTCTTTTTGGACATCCAATTTTAAGCTTTCACAAAGAGATTAGATTTTCATTATTTAGGTCACCATGTGGGAAACATGGTTTACTCTAGAGAGAGAGAGAGGCTGGGCTCCATTGCATCAAAGTTTTCCCCTTAGAGAGAAGAGAGTCCATTGCATCAAAGTTTTTCCCTTAGAGAGAAGAGAGTTTCTCATGGAGAGAAACACCACGATGTATCTCATGTAGATTGAGATGCCGGTTTCTCGTAGAGAAGCGGTTCTATAGATATTTTAGGTGGTTTCCCTTTTTAGTAAAAGAAAGTCTCAGTTGCTCTTAAAGATCTCTTCCTATAAATTGACATACTGGTTTTTTTTGTAGAGAAGCAATTCACATAGATATTTTGGGTGGTTTCCCTTTTTAGTGAGAGAAAGTCTTGATTGCTCTCAAGGGTTTCTTTTGGACAACAGTTTAGCTGTGAAATAGAGATGGGTCTCTTCTTGGATAGTCGTATAGTTGTGGAATAGAGATGAGAGGTCGGTGGGTCGTGACAATCGAGTGAGTGGGTCTAAAAGGACTTGCTTGATTAGGTTTTGTTGAGAGTTAAATAGGTAACTCTATGTCTCAAAATCTATTATGTAACTTTCATTGATATAGTAGATTTCAGTTTGACATGCCCGTGGATGTTGCCCTCTTGGAGTGAACAATATAAATCTTTGTATTCTTGTTATGCGAGTGTTTTATATTTTATTTCTTGTATTATGACTCGTGCTCTCTCCTATTTTATTTATGTCTGAATAAGTACACAATCTTTGTGTGATCTAACTTTTGGGATTCCTATTTCCATATCTAAGAGGGTTCTTAAATCCTAACAATTCCAAGGTCGAATTACTTCCAAAATTTTTGAACCTTCATTTAAAAGCAATATCCAAACTTAAAAGAATGAAAACTCGAGACACATTCATACACTGGGAGACTCCCTTGTCTTATGTGACGTCTGTCCTCAATTGCAAACCGTCGAATCATTTATGCTCGATCTTCTAACTACCCGAATCGGATTGACTTTGGAATTTTCTCTGGGGCAACAACTAAAACCAAAAAACACATTCTTTTTTTTCACAACTACTATGTTCAAGGTGAGATGATCGATTTAAAGGTTTTCTAATGCTTGATTCGTAATTTTTTATGAATTATGAGGCGAGGCTTTACTTATTTTGTAAGGCCACATATCAAACCATTTTCGATTCTATAATAGTTAGGAATTTTGGTTTGTAAAAGCAATATGAAAAATAAAGGAAAGAGGCAATAGCTCATATGAGATGGTCGCAATGAGGGGTTCTCATATTGAATGTCTTTAGGCAAAAAATTTAAGAAGTTTGTAGCTTAGAAGATCGCTAACCATCTCACAATTTGGGATCAAAACTCGGAGACTCCTTGTTCTAACAACTAGGCATGGGTGCCCAATACAAAAAAAATGAATTCAATCCGTTTTAGTGAGGATAAAGATAGTCTGTCATGGGTGCCCAATGGGCATGAGCTCGCACCTCAGATTTAAGGTTGTCGGATATGAGTTCAGCTTCAGATTCGTTCCAACTCTCTATCAAACTTCTGCACCCTTTCTCTCTCTAAAGTGATCTCAATACAAAATCAGATTTTCTTTATTTAGGCGACCTGTACTGATTTCTTCTCTCTATCTATCGATCTTGTTATCCTCTTGCTCCTCTCTTTTTGTTGTTCTATGACTCACTCTCTTCCTTTACATATCTCTTTTTGTAACACCTATTGCAGGACCATGTGAAATGTACAAAGCTATGACCCCCACAATGCAAT